TAAACACAGTTTAGTAAAGTATCACAATGGTATCATAGAAGAAAAGAATAAAATTATTCACATGTGACGTGACTTACTATCTGAAAGATTATGAATAACACAATTTAGTAAAATATCACGATGGTATCATAGAAGAAAAGAATAAAATTATTCACATGTGACATGACTTACTATCTGAAAGATTATGAATAACACAATTTAGTAAAATATCACAATGGTATCATAGAAGAAAAGAATAAATTAAATTACACATTCACATGTGATGTGACTTACATACTGAAAGATTGTAAATAACACAGTTTAGTAAAGTATCACAATGGTATCATAGAAAAAAAGAATAAAATTACACATTCATTTGTGACATGACTTACTGCCTAAAAGATTTTTGAATAACACAGTTTAATATAAAAGAAAGAATAAAATTATACTTTCACATGTGACATGACTTACATCCTGAAAGATTGTGAATAACACAGTTTAGTAAAGTATCACAATGGTATCATAGAAGAAAAGAATAAATTTACACATTCACATGTGAAGTGACTTACTTGCTGAAGATGAATGAACAACACAGTTTAGTAAAGTAGGCATATCATAGAATAAAAGAATAAAATTACACATCCACATGTAATGTGACTTACTCTCTGAAAGATTGTGATAACACAGTTTAGTAAAGTATCACAATGGTAACATAGAAGAAAAGAATAAATTTACACATTCACATGTGACATGACTTACTTCCTGAAAGATTGTGAATAACAGTTTAGTAAAGTATCACAATGGTATCATAGAATAAAAGAATAAAATTACACATCCACATGTAATGTGACTTACTGTCTGAAAGGTTGTGATAACACAGTTTAGTAAAGTATCACATGGTATCAGAAGAAAAGAATAAAATTACACATTCACATGTGACATGACTTACTTCCTGAAGATGAATGAATAACACGTACAGTTTAGTAAAGTAGGCATATCATAGAATAAGAGAATAACATTACACATCCACATGTAACATGACTTACTCTCTGAAAGATTGTGATAACACAGTTTAGTAAAGTATCACAATGGTAACATAGAAGAAAAGAATAAATTTACACATTCACATGTGAAGTGACCTACTGGCTGAAAGATTGTGAATAACAGTTTAGTAAAGTATCACAATGGTATCATAGAAGAAAAGAATAAAATTACACATTCACATGTGAAATGACTTACTTTCTGAAGATAAATGAACACAGTTTAGTAAAGTAGGCATATCATAGAAAAAAATTACAACATGTGACATGACTTACTTCCTAAAGATAAATGAATAACACGTACAGTTTAGTAAAGTAGGCATATCATAGAATAAAATTACACATCCACATGTAATGTGACTTACTGTCTGAAAGATTGTGATAACACAGTTTAGTAAAGTATCACAATGGTAACATAGAAGAAAAGAATAAAATTACACATCCACATGTAACATGACTTACTCTCTGAAAGATTGTGTTTAGTAAAGTATCACAATGGTAACAAAAAAGAAAAGAATAAAATTGCACATTCACATGTGAAGTGACTTACTATCTGAAAGGTTGTGAATAACACAGTTTAGTAAAGTATCACAATGGTATCATAGAAGAAAAGAATAAATTACACATTCACATGTGATGTGACTTACTGGCTGAAAGATTGTGAATAACACAGTTTAGTAAAGTATCACAATGGTATCAAAGAAGAAAAGAATAAAATTACACATTCACTTGTGACATGACTTACAAGCTGAAAGATTGTGAATAACACAGTTTAGTAAAGTATCACAAGGGTATCATAGAAGAAAAGAATAAAATTACACATTCACATGTGACATGACTTACAACCTGAAAGATTGTGAATAACACAGTTTAGTAAAGTATCACAAGGGTATCATAGAAGAAAAGAATAAAATTACACATTCACATGTGACGTGACTTACTTCCTAAAAGATTGAGAATAACACAGTTTAGTAAAGTATCACAATGGTATCATAAAAGAAAAGAATAAAACTATACATTCACATGTGACGTGACTTACATGTGCTCTCTGAAGGTGAATAACAAAGTTCAGTAAAGAATCACAATGGTATCACAGAAGAAAAGAATAAAATTACACATTCAAAGTGACGTGACTTACTAGCTGAAAGATTGTGAATAACACAGTTTAGTAAAGTATCACAATGGTATTATAAAAGAAAAGAATAAAATTATACATTCACATGTGACGTGACTTACATGTGCTCTCTGAAGGTAAATAACAAAGTTCAGTAAAGTATCACAATGGTATCACAGAAGAAAAAAATAAAATTAGACATTTACATGTGATGTGACTTACTGGCTGAAGAATTGTGAATGACACAGTTTAGTAAAATATCACAATGGTATCATAAATGAAAAGATAAAAATTACACATTCACATGTGATATGACTTACTTCCTAAAACATTGTGAATAACACAGTTTAGTAAAGTATCACAATGGTATCATAGAAGAAAAGAGTAAAATTACACATTCACATGTCATGTGACTTACTTCCTAAAACATTGCGAATAACACAGTTTAGTAAAGTACGGTATCACAATGGTATTGTAGAAAAATAAAATTACACATTCACATGTGATGTGACTTACAGACTGAAAGAT